AGGCAGGGCTGAGGCGCAGGGATGCTGGCACAATCTGAATGGCAGGAGCAGCCATGCGCAGGCTGTGGTCAGGCAGGGGTGGTACGGGGGCCTGGTGAGAAAGGGGGCTGTCTGGGGAGATGGATGGGTGGACAGGCCGATTCCATAGGCGTAACTCTGCAGACAGCACCAACCTGGGTGAAAACAAGGGTGGGTGGGGACTGAGCAGGGCAGTGGCCAGGGTCTGACAGCAGAGCAGAAATGTGGAAGCCCAGACTACTGCACTGGCCTGGCTTGCGGGATCATGGGGACCTCGGTTAGAGCCATTGCTGGCGAAGCTTCTGCCCTCACTGGCCTGACTGGCAGATCTGGTCCCAGTCTCCCCAGGAAAATACTCAGGGCAAAGAAGGATAAATCTGTCCTCTCTTCCTGCCTTCCAGCTTGCACGAGCCACTGTTCGTGATCCCAAGACAGGCGTCCTCACTGTTGCCAGCTACAGGGTTTCCAAAAGGTCAGCACAGGTGATGGTGGCAGGGTGACTGTTCAAGCCCCACCTCCAGGGCCTCCCAGGCCCTACCCAGGGATTCCTTGAGGGAGGGTGGCTTGGCTTGTCCTACCTGTCCTACCCCCCACCAAGTAGAGCACTCACCCATGCTGCCTCTGGGGAGACAGTGCAGGACCTCACCTCAGCCTGTCTTCCCTTCCTCTCTTTCTCGCCCTCTTTTGCCTTAGCTCCTGGCTGGAGGAGGACGATGATCCCGTTGTGGCTCGAGTGAACCGTCGGATGCAGCACATCACAGGGCTAACAGTAAAGACTGCAGAATTGTTGCAGGTATGGCTGGTCCCTGGGACCTTGGATTGGACGGGGGGATTCCTGGATACATGGGCTCCCAAGGTGCCTAGGGCCAGGCTTAGGGAGGCCTGTCCAATAAACTGTATGACTGCAGAATGCTGTGAATATGGAGTGATGTCACATGGGGAAGCCAGGATTAAGCATGCCTGCGGCATTCAACAGTTAACATCCAGCAGATATCGATTATCGTCTCTGTGACTGGGAGCTAGAGGCCAGTGGTGGGCCTGGCAGGCCCATTCATGTCTTCTCAAATACAGAAGCTGAAACCCTGAGTTGTCCCAGGGACACCTCTAAGAGAGCTATGACAGCAGGGGGCTTTACAAGAGAGAATAAACAAAAGATTCTCTCTTGTAAATTCCAGACAAGACCAGCCCCTCTAAGGTAGAAGGTAACTATGCTCGGCCAGCACGGGCAGAGCAAAGGCTGTGCTCAGAGGGCATGGTGTTGAGGCCCAGTCAAAGGTCCTTGGAGGTAAAGTGTTCTGTGGGATATTGATAGAAGCGAGCGGCCCGGACCAGTTGGCTGGTGAAGGTGGAGTGCTTTTCTCTAAGTGCCCGCTGTGGAGCCCTGGCTCCCTGCCCATTGCCACGGTGATTGTGAAGACACGTGGCAGCACTGTGCCGGGAAGTTTTGGGTGAAGCTCCTAATAATGAAACCTCAGTCTATTGAGTTCAAGTCAGCACTGGCCATCTCCGGAACATTGGAACCTGTGGGTGCTGTTGTATAGTGATGGCCTGAGACACTGTCAGAGAAATTTCACTGGCATTTTTCTCGAATCTCCTGGATCGGTTTGGCCAGAGCTTCTACATGTTTAAGGATCTCACTCTTCACCTGTAGGCTTGACATTTGGGCCTGATCAGCCAGAGAGCTTATTAGACTATTTAACTGAAGATTGTTTGGAAAAGATTCTCTGAATTTGTGCCTGGACACACACAAGCAAATTCATTCTCTCTCTCTCTCTCTCTCTCGGCAATTAGAAAAACAAATTTGAAGGTCATCTTCATGGATATGTGTGAAATCAACTGCAGTTTTTAAAAATATGTATATTTTTATTGATTTGAGAGAGAGAGGAAATGGGGGTGGGGGAGAGAGATCAATGTGAGAGAGAAACCTTGATCAGTTGCCTCCCATACACACCCTGACTGGAGACCGAACACACAACCTGGTCATGTGCCCTGACCAGGAATTGAACTGTCAGCCTTTTGGTGTACAGGGCAACACAACCAGCTGAGCCACCCAGCCAGGGCGAGGCACCCTGTTTGTTTGCTTTGTCTTTTTGTGCTGTCTTGGCATTTCTGTTGCCAGCCAGCAGTGTTGCAAGCTTTGACCCTACATGGTCTGGGGGACAGGAACCTGCCTTCAGCATCTGTCTCTAAGGGCTTATTCCACGGGGACCACTTGCAGTGTCATACATGCACGCAGGGTCCCTGTGGAATGCTGCAAGCTTCTGGAAAGGAACTGGTTCCTCTTCTACTCGTTGACACTTTTTCAGCTGTAGTTGATGTGTCTTCACTACAGCTGAAGTGAAGCGGTTTTGTTGTGAATTGGATGAGGGCCCAATGGAGGAAGAGAGGCTACGCTGCTAGAATTCTCTGCGATTGAAGACACGTTTCTAACTCAACATCTCAGCCTCACCAAAAAAGGGATTTCTAACTTAAAAAATGATTTCAGAAAGGAAGGGAGAGTGAGCGAGAGAGAGAGACGTCAGCGATGAGAGAGAATCATTGATCGGCTGCCTCCTGTACACCCCACACTGAAGACTGAGCCTGCAACCCAGGCATGTGCTCTGACTGGGAATTGAACCGTGACCTCCTGACTCATAAGTTGACGCTCAACCACTGAGCCATGCCTGCTGGGCGCTAACTTTATTTTTGTGTGTGTCTTCACTCTGATCTCTGCATCATAAAAACCCTGATCTTTCAAATGACTGACTTTCTAAAGCAGTGGTTCTCAACCTTCTGGCCCTTTAAATACAGTTCCTCATGTTGTGACTCAACCATAAAATTATTTTCGTTGCTACTTCATAACTGTAATGTTGCTACTGTTATGAATCATAATGTAAATACAGTGGGGCCTTGACTTACAAGTGTCCCGACTAACGAGTTTTTCGAGATACAAGCCGTCTCTCAGCCGATTTTTTGCTTTGAGTTGCAAGCTAAAATTAGCATCACATGTCTCACTCGTTCACAATTGATTTGACATACAAGTAATTTGAGTTATGAGCTCCATCATGGAACGAATTAAACTCGTAAGTCAAGATCCCATTGTATCTGATGTGCAGGATGGTCTTAGGTGACTCCTGTGAAAGGGTCATTCGACTGCCAAAGGGGTCGCGACCCATAGGTTGAGAATCGCTGCTCTAAAGGTTCAAATGAATACCTCCTCACAGGAATCAGTTTTGATGTGCAGTTGCTTGTTATTAAAGGTACGTGTCTGGGGACCAGAGTTTGACCAGACTGTGAATCTGATTGCGGCAAATCCAGAAGTTTCCATGACTCTTGCACTATTTGGGAACAGTATTAGATAGTGTAGGGACAGTAGCTGCAGCACCATGATCAAATGTGGTTCCCCAACTGTTAAAAGATAAGCCGGCCAGAGCAATGCAGCTTCTCTCACTCCCTGGGATCCGAACACGTATGCACTCCACCCAATAAAGGGGAATGTTGGAAAATACAGTCTGCTCTGCAGCTCCAGCGACAAGCAGTGATGGGATTTTCCCGCATGCAGTGGCACGGTGATCACAGTCATGTTTAAAATTTTCTCCTAAGGTCTCAATTAGAGTGGATCCACAGAAAAAGCATGTGTACTGTCACTTTGTCAACTGTTCTAGCGTTTCCCTCCTTAGAGGCACCTCTAGCCTTCGGGCCACCTGTTGACCCAGGCCTTCTGACCAACAGCAGGGTGGCCAGGTGTTTAGGCTATGGGGATCTTGAAGGCTGAAGCAGTGGGTGACATTTTTTCATCCCCTGATTCTTCATATCAAAGTTTTTATTTTTGTGGGGACCGAAAATCATGCTGCCCAAATTCTGCACTTCATTCCACTAGACAGATATTGTTTATGCTTCAAAAGGAGGATTCTCTCTTATAAAGTCCACCCTCCCGGCCCTCCCCCGGGTCTAAGGGCCTCCGTTGTTGCTAACTGTGCAGCATTTTCCACCTGACGGTTGAAATCGCTGAGAAGAATACACTAAAAGTACCAATTTTCTGAGGACTAATAACTGAGCTCACAGGCTTTTCGGGTTTCAGTAAGACACAGTAGCCAAGTGTTCCCTGAAGGACTTTGATGGTGCCACTTGATTGACCAGCTTTCATACTGAATATATCTCCTGGAGCTAAAATAACTGTCGTGATTTAGGACTTACATTGTGCTGATGAACTATTCACAAAGGCATTTGCTGTTTCTCATCCCAGTAATGACACCTAGTGGTTGCTGAGCGAGGTGGCTCAGGTCCCGTTCCAGGCCCAGGCTCCTGCAGGGGGCACCGAGGTCGGGCAGCAGCTCTGGCCACCTGCAGCTGGACGCCCATGTGCTGCTGCTTCACTCCATGCAGCGGACAGCTGTGGGATGGAGGAATATGCCCCTCCATGGGCATGGTGACAGACGTGGCAGGAGCAGTGCCAGGCACTGAGAAGCTCCCAAACTAGTCTTAAAAAAAGAAATCCCAGTCTTGAGTTTGTTGTTGGCTTTCCTCTGAATTACCTTCTCATTATCTCCCAAACGGGGCTTGGGCCGGGGCCTGTCTCAAGGGCTCCCTCTGCTGTCATCTGCGTGTCCCTGCAGGGCAGGAGCTTCTCCACAGTGGCCACATGCAGATGGCTCATGTTCTCTTTGGGAAACCACAATTTGTGCTGCAGCCTTACTCTCCCTCTAGCCGTAGACATGTTTGCAGCCTTTGCTCTGCCCATGCTGGCTGGGCCTAGTTACCTTCTACCTTAGAGGGGCTGGTCTTGGGGGTTCTGGTTTTGGAGGTTCAGGTGGTTCTAGTTGTTACCTGGGAAGATAGTACCCCTGGGGACATGGGCTGTTTTGGGGCTGTTTGTTGCTGACGAGGCCCAACATTGTTATTTCCCAACAGGTTGCTAATTACGGAATGGGAGGACAGTACGAGCCACACTTTGACTTCTCTAGGGTAAGGCCCAACTCACCGGTGCTTTCAGAGGGACCTGTTCCAGCTGGTTTGAGAAGGCTGGGGCTTCTAGAAGCACTTCATCCTCCGCATCTGGCTTCCCCCCGCCTCACCAGGGCCAACTCTTTGTTATTGGAGAAGCCCAAGTTGGGAACCAGGGGCCTGCAGAGCCCAATGCAGCCTGGCTGCTTCCCCTGGGATGTAGGGAGTGTTCTTCCTGCCCATCCCTGTCATTCTCTGCCCTGACTGTCCAGCAGAGGACCTCACTAGGTCTCTGTGAAAACTGATCCTGCCCCCTCCCCCGTGCCCTCCCAGACTTTACCTGGCAGCCTTGGCCCATGGTCTAGGGCAGGGGTCCTCAAACTTTTTAAACAGGGCCAGTTCACTGTCCCTCAGACCGTTGGAGGGCTGGACTATAGTTTAAAAAAAAAACTATGAACAAATTCCTATGCACACTGCCCATATTTTGAAGTAAAAAACCAAAACGGGAACAAATACAATATTTGTATTTGCATGTGGCCCGTGGGCCGTAGTTTGAGGACCCCTGGTCTAGGGCTAGGGCTGATGGGTGGAAAGCACACTTATTACCTTCCCCGACCCTTTTGGCCCCACTGGGGGGCGGGGTGGTGGGTGAAGTCAGTTGCAAACTTGGGTGAAAGTTGTTGTTTGTTGCAGCGACCCTTTGACAGCGGCCTCAAAACAGAGGGGAATAGGTTAGCGACGTTTCTTAACTATGTAAGTATCGGGTCCAGGCCCGCCTGTTTACTCTCACTTAATTTTATAGAACGATGAGCAAGATGTTTTCAAGCATTTAGGGACGGGGAACCGTGTGGCCACATTCTTAAACTACGTGAGTATGATGTGTGTGGTGTGTGAGCCTAAGAGGAGTCTGGGTCGAAAAAGCTCTTATAGCCACTCCTGTCAGGGCTGATACCACCAGCGTTGCTCAGTTGCTGGGCCCATCGTGGCTGGAGTAGAGAGTTGGCCTTTGTTTATCTATGGGCACCCCCCTGACCCCCAGGACCTTCACACCCCTGGCTTTTTTGTTTGTTTGTTAATCCTCGCCTGAGGATATTTTTCCATTGATTTTTGGAGAGAGTGGAAGAGAGAGGGAAAGACAGAGAGAAACATCAATGTGAGAGAAACACATCGATTGGTTGCCTCCTGCATGAGCTCCAGCCAGGGCCCAGGCCAGGGAGGAGCCTGCAACCAAGATACGTGCTCTTGACCGGAATCGAACCTGGGACCCTTTAGACAGCAGGCCAACGCTCTATCCACTGAGCCAAACTGGCTAGGGCCCTGGCTCCTTTTCGATGGGCCCAGTGCTAGTCTGGAATTTGGGGGTGGGTGCCCCCAAAGTTCCCTCCTTGGCAGCAGTGTGAGGAAGTCACCGTTAAGTGCTTAAATGAAAGCTGCCTTTGTTTCCCCAAACTTGGTGTCCTGTCTCCCAAAGGCTACTTGTGCACCAGCCTCAGGGTTTTCCTCACATGAGCAACAGTTTTCCACCCCCTCTGATGAGAGGGCTGGCTCTAACGAGGCATAGAAACAGTCAAGAAATTCAGAGATAGATGCCTGTGTCCGTATTTCCCTCTGGTTTCTCATTTATGTTTTTATTGTGTGGCTTTTATGTGCTGGGGGCTGCCATGAACACGCTTGGTGGGCAGGACATATGTGGTCTCTCTTGTAAGGCTGACGGTCTAATACAAGGCTTACTTTAAACAGAGGAGAGGCCATTGTTTCATTGCCATGGTGACAAGTGCTTTGAAGACAGTAGCTCAGGGTTGGTGCTCAGAGAAGGCCTCCCTTGGGAAGTAACATGTCAATATTGAGACTTGAAGGTTGAGTGGAAAATAGTTGGTGGAACTTGGTTTCTGGCAGAGGAGAGAGTGTGTGGAGACCTGGAAGAGGGAAGGAGCGTGGGATGTTGGAAAAATAGAAAAAGGCTGGTGGCTTGGAGGCATGAATTGATAGTGGCTAGAGGGTGAGGCTGGTGAGACTGACAGGGCCTTCGGGTTCTAGAGAAGAGTCTGGATTGGATCCCCAGGGCTGTGACCATCAGGGGTTTTCATGTTATTCATTTCCCCTGTCTGTCGAGGGCCCTTCAGTCTGTCTGGTATGTGTCCTGTGGAAATATTTATTAGCTGCAAATGCTATTACATTATGAGCAAAAACTTGAAGTGAGAGAGCCAGACAAGAAAGAAGTGGTGCTTTGGGCGTGAGTCGAGGCACACGCTGTGGGCATGAGTGCAGCCTCCCTTCCATGGAATTTATGTTCTGGTTAGTTTGAGGTCTCACCATGGGAGAAAGCAGGGCCTCTCCCTACTGTCCCACCCAGAGGCCCGGGGAAGGTGCGTGTCTAACTAGAGCAAGTTTTAGAGGCCACAGTGGGGACCACAGATGGTGTTGGAAGCATCAGGGAGCTCTTGGTCAGGGTAGCTCATGGGTATAGTGGCTTAGGCAAGGCCCAGGCCTAATGGGGATGCAAGGAGTGGAGGTCAGGCAGGCATTTTTCTGAGATTTAGATTGTTACCCTCTGAGGACAGCTGGGATGTGAGTCCCCTACAGCTCTTGTGTGCCCATGGCATTGAGACTGTCCTGATGAACCGTACAGATTAAGCCAGTGGTTCTCAACCTTCTGGCCCTTTAAATACAGTTCCTCATATTGCGACCCAACCATAAAATTATTTTCGTTGCTACTTCATAACTGTAATGTTGCTATTGTTATGAATCGTAATGTAAATATCTGATATGCAGGATGGTTTTAGGTGACCCCTGTGAAAGGGTCGTTTGGCTGCCAAAGGGGTCACGACCCACAGGTTGAGAACCGCTGGATTAAGCCGTGTTTAGGGAAAAGCTTTTCTTAGCTGAAGGGCTGGCCGTGGAGCAGAGCCTCCAAGCCCTGTTGCTCATGTCCAGAGGAGGCTGATCTGCACACCTCGTCATGTCCTTCGTGGCTCAGTTGCTCTGAAATCCTTGGGTAGAAGGGCCAACCTCTATGCCTTGTATTCCCAGATGAGCGATGTAGAAGCTGGTGGTGCCACCGTCTTTCCTGATCTGGGGGCTGCAATTTGGCCTAAGAAGGTAAGTTCTGGTTCTTATGGCTCTGATGTCAAAGCCGGGCTTTATGTTCCTCAGTCCCGTTCCCTGGCCTGCTTGACTCTCCACTGGGAGGGGCCTTAGCCCCTTCTTGCCGAAACTCTGACCTTGTGGCCTCAGCTTCCATCTGGGGAGAAGGGATAGGGAGGGAGGTCCCTTAGGGGCAGGTAGGTTTGCAGGCACCCACCCCCTACCCTCACTCCCCGCCCTCCCTCCCCCGTGAAGGGTAGGTGCTTTCTGGGGAACTTTTCTCTCGTTGGAGTCCCAGAGCCCTGTATCCCTGTACACGGGAGAGAGAGGGTGTGTCTGCTCAGGGAGGGGCTTTGGGGTGCTCAGAGTCAGGTTCTCCAGCCCAGTCTCTAAGGATGTTGTCTCATAGGCTGTTTCTTTTTCCCAGGGCACAGCAGTATTCTGGTACAACCTCTTGCGGAGTGGGGAAGGTGACTACCGAACGAGACACGCAGCTTGCCCCGTGCTTGTGGGCTGCAAGTGGGGTGAGTGGCTTAAGGAGTGGTGCTGGCCTTGGTGGCCTCGGTGGGCTTTAGTGGTCGTCCTTAGACTCTGAGCCGGGAGACAACTGCTGCCAGAGTTTCATAAAGCCATACTGTCCGCCTTTTGAG